CACAACTGAAATGGAAACACCATCTCCACCTTCGATGGCTTTCACGGTTAGATGTTTCCACCTAGGAGGAGGCCAATGCTTCAAGGTCTATCCGGATTCAATCCCTCCTAGGGAATAAGCTCCTAATGGAAGGGGACAATGCTAATGTTCTGCAATGAGCTGCTAGGAGATGCTAGGTCCCATAGCACCTTGCTACTATTTGTTACAACATTTTTCATTTGTGTAGACCTCTTTGAGTCAGCTTCCGCCATATTTCGTGTGAGGCTACACCGAGGCAGCCTCCTTAGCAAATGAAGGGGCCTCCTTGCCGGGGAACCCACCTCTCTCCTGACTTCTCTTTTTTGAATTACAAGCTCTCTCTCTTTCTCTCTCTCTCTCTCTGATTTGCCCCTACCCCACCCCTCCCCCCCTTTTCTCCGAGCATCGGTCTATGGGTCCCCTCTCTCAACTTACTCTCTACCTCTTTCCTTTTGCTTCTTTGAATGGCCCCCATTTTTTGACTGCACTAATTTTTTGTACAACACATTTTTTGACAAGCTTGACAACCGACACCACACACCACTCTCCCTCTTCACTCTTCACTGCACTTTCTCTTCCCCTCCACCTAACTTCCTCTTTCTCTCTCCTTGTCTGTCTCCATTGCCCTCCCCCTCCTTTTTTTCTGATCTCTCTCTCTTCTCCTCACATTATTTCATTTCTTTTTTTTCCTTTTCTTATTATCTTTTTATATACAGGAGCATCCAGTTTGTCGACTGCCATATTAACTCACTCCGCGTGAGTAATTTTTGTACCTATTACTATCTTAAGTAATATTTGTCACTTTTCAAAACACAAAATAAATAAGCTCATTAAATGAAGTTTATATCAATTCGTACAGTTTTGTCACGCAGACATGGATCATCATGCCATGTTAAACAGGGATGGGGACCAATCAATGAAGCTACTAGTGCAGTTGAACAAGGGCTATCAACTGGTTGGATTAACCTAGCAAGGCATCTAGTTAACCAGACCCAGGTTCGGGCTAAGAACCATCTCCTAGACCCAAGTCGGGTAAGGCAAGACCCTTCAGAGTTTGGGTCCAAACTTGAGCGTTACCAGGTTAGGGTTTCAATTGATCTGACTAGACATGACCAATTTTACAAAGAAAAAAAGGTTACCTGATTGGGTCCAACCAGGTCTCCAGTTCCATCAAACCCAGGTCTGGATCTAAATTCCAATCTCGGCGGATCATGTCCCACTAACAAACATGGACACCTCCAAGCTTGGGTTCAAGTCCCTGTTGGAACCTGATCCAAGAGGCTTTGAACTATCTTACCATTAAGGTTTAGCCTCTAGACCATGTAAATCCCTATAGAAATAAAGTGGAACAATGGAGAAGTGTGGATAATCACCACATGCAGCTGCTATATGCATTGGATAAGCAATTATATAGGAGAGGTCTCACAAATAGAACATCGGAGACAAAAGACAGCATGGATTCGCCACATGTTATTGGTTACAACTAATTCACCATGCATACAAAAAGTTTTAGGTTTTGGGTATTCAAAGTTCAGAAAAGCAGAGGTGCCCTCCTAGGCTACACCTTGCCCGCCTAGATGAGAGCCTCATGAATGAGGCGGCCTAAAAGCAAACCCCCCCCCTCCCCCCCCCCCCAGATATATATTAAAGCAATAGTATATATATATTATTACATTAATGGAAATTTATCAAGACGCCGCTTAGAGATGAAGTATGTAATATTTTGCCCATTTGCAGCTACTCCTACTCAGACCATGTGTTTTTCTATGATTATTTTCAAGTTAAACAAAAAAATATGGATAAGGTTGTTAAATTGTTCATCTCTCACGGGTAATTTTATCAATATCCCTTTTTTTGGGTAAGTCAGTGGGGGAGAAGACCCCTACCCGTTTTTTATTAATAAAAGAGCAGAGAAAAACAATTAAGATACAACCCTATGGTAGAGCAATTGCGCAGGATCATGTAATAAAAGAGAGGAAAGAAAATCTGGTTGTCTATAGTGCCACACAATAGCACAGGGGCCAGCAACTGCCCTTTTAGCCAGGGCATCAACAACCATGTTAGCCTCACGAAAGACATATGTAATGGACCATCGATGAGAAGACAGTCTGGTGCAACAATTGTCTTTAGCCTCCATGGAGCATTGCATCGATTCTGAATGACATTCACAAGCAAGGCCGAGTCACTGTCAATCTGAATTGGAAAGCCATTACTTTGAATAACCAATTGAACTCCTTCCTCAATGTCAAGAATTCTGCATGGTTATTAGAAGCAAAACAAAAATGCTTTGCGAAAGCAGCAATAAAACTGCTCGCATTGTTCCTGATAACTCCACCACCACTTACTAAACCTGGATTTCTCAAGGAAGCGCCATCAATATTGAGTTTGTAATTATGAGTCTCAGGAAAAGACCACGCTACCGAAGTAAAGGACTCAGCCCTCTGCTGCTGCCAAGTTATCCGAAGGTTACCAATGATGGCCTTTTATCAATATCCCTTACATTAATATATTGTACTTTAGTACCAATAGTTAATAATATGCTTATGGATATTTGTACCATTAGTATTACATTCACACGTATATTATTAATACAGCAAGCTATTAAATATATTTGTAGTTTTGAATTGTAGTTAATACTCAATAGTGCCATTTAGTGTCATGTTACTGCATTTGTACTTTAGTACCAATAGAAAATAATATATTAAATATATTTTTGCTATTGTACTGAATATATTTTTTTCTTTAAAAGAAGTAACATTCACATGTACATTAATAAACAGAAATATATTAAAATATAATTTTACTACAGTACAAATATAGTACAACATATTTAATAATACTTCAATAAATATTCATGCTATTACTTTTAAGTATTGTATAGTATGAGACAATTTATTTTTAGTCCAAGGAGATTACAATCACTTTTGGCCAGTGTATGAGAAATCCAATGGATAAAAATGTGCACAACACTGGAGAAATTTTATTTTGGACATGCCTAAACAATGACACATTCTCAATAATGATTGTGACCTCCTTGTATCAAAAGTAAATGGTCTCATTGTATATATTTCATAATTTAAAGTGCCATGTATACTGTCAATGTATTAATAGTGCAGTTAACAGTACTATACAAGGTGAAAAAATCAGCGGCCCAGGCCCAGTTTGAGTTAAATGGTCTCATTGTATACATTTTCTTTCAAAATGTTCATCTTTTAAGGGTTTTAGAAACTTGTTTAAGGCATAAGGGATTTGTTTTGGACCCACATGGGAGGCCAAAGGCCACAGCCCCACATGTCTAAGACTCCCCCTTGTTTGGGAGCTAGGGCCCACCTGGGACCCACACCCCACTTGCCCTATCCCCCTCTTCACTCTCCTTATCAGGATAAGGTTGGTTGAGAGAAAGAGGACTTCATGGGATATGTGTCCCACTTGTTTTGGAATTATCCTAGTTTTAAATATTAATAGATAATTGGTTTCCTCAAAAGATAAGGACTTCTAAAAGGAAATTATTTCTAAAAGATTCAAATGTCCTAATGCGAATGGAACTTGGACTTTATGGATAAACCTAGATCCTACTAGAACTAGAAGAGGATTCAAGGATCCAAAAGATAATGGTTTTAGGATTCATCCCTTCATCATGATAGCTGATCTAGGGATTGAATTGCTCAAATTAAACCTATCTTCACCCCACAGATTACTTTGGACTCCTTAATCAAAGTTAAATCCTATTTGAAGATGGCTTACCCTAAACCCCAGAAACTAGTATAAATAGGGTCAGCCCCCTCATTACCGTCACCACTTTCTGGCCTCGCTCTTCCACGCCCCATTATTCTCTCTTCTCTCTCTCTCTTTTCCTAGGGTGACATGCACCCCTAAGAGCCTCCTCTAAGAGGCAAGTCCTAGCCCACTGTCATAGGAGAGGCACCATGCTACGCCCAGGGTCTGACCCAGGGGTGGCACGCCCCACTTTAGGATGATTGAAAGAAAACCCTATTTTGATATTAAGGGTGAAAGCCTAATTAATTTTCTAGAGGGCATCTTGCTAATGCTCTCAGCCCAGTTTGAGTTAGGGTTTGCCATAGTTGCTTCCTATCTTGTATAAGATTCAGCAAGGACCATTGGATCGGTGTGCCATCAGTTTGGTAATTGGTGGTGGGGTGTAGTAAGTCCTATGGGGGTGATCCTAGGCACAATATCGCAAGTTGCTTCCCAGTTTATTATTGCTTTCTAGTCTTAATTCATATTTGATTCTTCATCATCATCATCACCAAAGTCCTTTCCCAACTAGTTGGGTTCAGCTACACGAATCATCGTCTGCCATTATGTTCTATCAAGGGTCATACCTTTAGTGAGGCCACAGGTCCCCATATTTTTTACTACTTCCAACCATGTCCTCATATTTGTTTGCTATTTGTAATCGAATAGAGTTTTATTTTAAGGGTAGGAAGAGTGTGATCCATAGATTGTAGTAGGTTTTATTTTCTGTTTTGCATTGTAATTGGCACTCGTAAGTAGAATTGCCAATCTAATAAAAGAAAAAGAGAAATTTTTTCGAATTTATCCACTGTGCCCCTCCACAGAGCCCACCTTTCACGGCCTACTTAAGCGGCAAGGCGCCTGAATTTTGAACACTATGGGTATCTATTTTGTATTACTTTTAAGCCTTTCCTTTAAACTTTTTATCCACTTCCTCTAACTGCCTCACAAAGATGTGCCAATACATATGCCTGCCGATGAGCATAGTTAAGGACCGCATAGCACAAAAATAGTAACAAATTCCAATCCTGACTTTGATGGACATTTAGGAATGATATCAATTATTTCATGCCATTATATGTTGAAGAAATTCAATTAGATTTCAAACTTATAAAAAATAATCTATGTCAGTTTGCAAGCTCGAATTGCAAGCATCCAATAATAGAAACAAAACTTCAAATGATGCTATACATAAAGCATGCTTGAACTGTAAATGGTTTCCTTACCCGCATGTTTGAAGCAACTCTAGCCACATAGTTGAAGGGGGGCACTTTGTCTTGAAAATGAAACATGGTCTCCCCGATGGCACAAATCTTCAAAACAGAACCAATCAGATCTCTGCCAAGAATGGCATACCTAACTGATTTAACTATTATAATAATGATAAGAGGGCATCCAGAAGCAGCATTGCATTCCAGATAGTGTATAACAAGCAGGACATTTTACAAACGAGTTCTGCCCATTCAAAATGAATTGATAAGTTTCATGGATGCTTTACTTAATTTTTGTTATTAAAACTGTAGTTGCCAAAATTTTTAAAGCTTTCAAATGGCCAAGAAGGTTATCATCCAAGGACCTCTGCAGCACAGTAAATGGAAACAAAAAACATTTTCAAAATTTAACATGTGGAACTCCAATCTTATGGTTAACATGTACACAGAGCTGGCATGCATTGGATGCTTACAGCTGCATCATTTTCCATGTAACACAAGCACATGCACACTCACACGCACACACACACACACACAATAAGACAGAAACACACAAGGCCTCCAGATACCTCTGGTACATCTCACGTTCTCCTTGAACTTATAATCAATATTTTTCCCTTTTTATATAGCACGCCACTGAAAAGATAGGCATACCTCATGTATGCATCATAGAAGAAAGAAAGGCGGATAAGTGACAACAGTGAAGAAAGTTTGGGCTAAGAAGGAGAAAACAGGTAAGAATGGTAGAAGTGGAGAGAATGTATCAATGAAATGGGAGAAGAAGGGCACAGGCAAGTAGTGTCACATATGACTCACCAACAAGTTGAAATGTGAGGCTCATCCATTGTGAGGCTATCAGTGGCCATTGGCCTTGCAGTGCCCATGTAAGAAAGGTCTCCACTAGTTTAACTTTGTTTTACACATACATGTTTTTGTGAGAGTATTAGCTTTGGTCATGCATTTATATCTTTCAAGTCAGTAGATGTAATTATATTCTTAGTACCATAGCTCTGTATAATATACTGTACTTTCCTCAAATGGATTTTAATTGCATAGTTTCACTTCCCACATTCAAATATTTACGAGTTAGAAAATAGAAGCTAATTGTTTAGGCAATGAAATATCTGCCAAGTGTATGGTTCACTTCATGCAATAGGTCAAGCACGCTAAATTCAACTTAATTCAAATTTTAAACAAAACCCAAATCCCATTTAGCTGAAACTCATAATGAGGTGTTCCAGGGAAAGGTCTAGAAGTCCCTTGAAAGAGCATGAGAGGGCAATTCATCCAGAATATCCATACCTCTTCAAAGATCCATTTGTTGACCCCACTCTCTTTCAAAAGCAGTATGTATTTGAACAACAGTCCAACTATATCCTCCATGTGTTCTGCAATCCATGTAAAAGACTTGCATGATTAATAGAAAACAGACAAATATGGTAAAGGCCAAACGTTTACAATGATTAGGGACCTCGACTTTTTTGGGACTAGACTAAAATGTGATATACATGCCAAAAATTATTATGCACTCCAATGAAAATAAAGAAAATCATATTACAATAATACTAATTAATAACAATAAGAGTCAAGCAAGAACTATAAGAAAAATGACAATGAAAGGCAAGCAACATAAATATTGCTTCACGAAAAGAAAAGGATCCCACCTTGACCAGCATCTGTAAGATCAATCCCAACCGCAAAGAAAGAAAATTCATTACTCCAATCAGTTTCACCTGCACCAAGACTAGTAGCCCATCCTGCAAAATTTAAGCGCATGCATAAAAATCTCATCCAAGAAGCATTTCAAAGCCAATTAAGATCACTCCTAGATATCGTCAAATACCATATTAACAGAAGTCTGCATAAAAGATCTCAAAAAAGTTGGCTCAATAAAGAAACCAGAAAACAGCACTAACTTAACAGTATTGGTCTATAGGTAATGACTGATGCAAACAAGCCACGATGCTCTTTTCATAAATGGTAATGTACTAAACCAATACAAAATAACAAATGACCAGACCATACTTTCCAAGAAAATCCTCCTTAAGCAGAATTGACTTCTCGGATACAATCATACTAGCATGTTAACCATAAGTCCCTACTCAAAGAACACAAAAAACTTCCAAACTACAGAGAGAGAAAAACCAGGAAATCTTCGAGCTCCTCTTTTTTCTTTTTTCTTTTTTCTTTTTTCTTCTGGTTGTTAGATCTTTGAATTCTTCAAAAATGTCATACAGGCAATAAAGGAAATTGCACTGACACCAAAATTCGGAGAAACCCTGTGAAATGAGGCGACAATACCTTTGCGTTAACGCTAGATACAAGGACAGATCAACTTAAGATGTATCCAAATTAAAGGCAAATTGGATGCCGGCATTTTGTGGCCTTCAAAGCCCTTGAGAACATGTAAAAATAATATATATAGACAATATGTGCAATTCAGTGGGAGCGAATGTTAGTTAATTGACCTAGAATTGGGCAGTCTATGGCCCAGGTATATCCAAAACCCTTGCCCCTAGGTATACCCACTACCGTTGAGGGTTTTCTGGAGGTAATCCCGTGTTGAGGTCGAAGATATGCACAAGGAAAATGTTTGTGTTGGGTTTTGTGGCATTTGAAGGCATATAGAACTTGTAAATAGGATATTTGATAGTGGAATATATTGGGTATTTGTGGCCACTAAAGGCCGTATGAGAGCATGTAACCAAATTCACTATAGTGGAACAATATACTCCAGTGGGAGAGTGGTCCAGAGGGACCAAGAGATTATGGTCCAACAGAGGGGGGTAAGTAGGGATAAACTCAGACTAAGCTTAACGTGTTAGACCAGTCAAGTTGGAAAACCCTTAATTACCTGGGCATAGAGCACAACAGAGGAGGGTAAGTTGGGTTATCCCTTGATAGGTCAGAGTTGCCCAGGTTAGTGAGCCAAGGGACAGTATGACCCTTGTGTGTGATGGTAGGCTTGTAGAGACAAGGGCCAAAGTCTCATCATTGAACCACCACACGACATGTACATATGATAGCCGTATTGGGAAAGAGAGTCATTATTGTGGGTGATACTTGTACATGTACGAGAGATGACCCCTATGCACCATAGAATTATTGTTGCACTAGGTTTGTGTGACCTTGGACTTCTTTCTAGAAGAGATCTGTTATCCATAGACTGAGATTGTATCCCCTCACCTAATGGCTGGCTTTGGTGGCTCAATCATGAACTCCTGCGATGGTTTGTGGGTTATGGGAACTGCTGGGTCAGTTTAAGAAAGTGAGTGTGGACTATAGCCTTCAATAGAAGATGGAGTGCTTCAGCAAATTTACAATTCCTTGATCTAGTTGGTTCCGAATCCCATCAAAATTATTTAGGATTAATTATTTTGATGTTATATAATTTTTAGATTGATAGTTTGAATTTTTAGAAGTCTCTGGATATTTTATTTTTCACAAAATGGATTTATAAATAGAAAAATATTGAATTTTCAGTATTTTAAATATTTAGAGAAAATAAAATATTTATTATTTTCTAAAAATCATTTTATAATTTTTATAATTCATATAATTGTTGGGAGCCCACCATAATATATACATGGAGATTACGTTGGGCCCACTTATGGGCACCATAGAGTGGCACGCCGCACTTATGGGAGCCACTTCCCTATTTCATGATGAAGCCCATAAGGCACTCAATCAAGATGAAATAATTTGGAAAGTTTTAGAAATTAAAGAGAGATGATTTGAATTAAAAGCCTTATATTTATGCAAGAGATAGGAAAGTATGATATATTTTTCATATTTTTATAATTTGATAGGATTAAATTAAGGAAGATGAAGGATAAGGTTCTAACACCTTCCTTTGAAACGTGATGGTTGATCTAAAGATTGTATGGCTCAGATCTCTCAACCCACAGATCTCCTATAATCAATGGTCTGGATCTAATCTCCAAAGGGAGGGCTACCCCTAAGAAACCCTAGATTTTTACAAACAGTGGCCCAATCTCTACACTTCTCTGCACCTCTAATCTCTCTCTCTCTCCTATGAGTGGCACGACATCCTATCTAGATCTGATCTAATCTCTCTCTAAGATCTCTCATCTCTCTCCCTTAGATAATAGGGAAAATTTCGTACAGAACCCTAAATCTCCATCTTATTTCATAGTAGACCCTCCTTCCAATTTTCTTTCAAGCTGCATAAAAAAGTCCCCAAGGATTTCACCATACCCCCTCATCTCTTATCTCCCTCATTTATTCACTTTTGACTATAAAAATTAGCCCCAACAAATCCTTTTATACCATTTCAACCCAATATGAGAGAGAGATAGGGAGCCCTTAACGTGACATTAAGGGGCTGAAAAGGCAAAAAATATAATAAAAAAATATTTTTAAAATGTTTTTGGGTTAAAAGATAAAATGGGTTAAAAAAGTTTTTGAAACGTTTTTGGAATGTTTTTTGGTTGAAATGGTATAAAAAGGTTTGTTGGAGCTAATTTTTATGGTCAAAAGTGAATAAATGAGAGAGATAAGAGATGAGGGGGTACAGTGAAATCCTTAGGGATTTTTTTATGCCGCTTGAAAGAAAAATGGAATGAGGGTCTACTATGAAATAAGATGAGAAAGTAAGGTTCAGTACAAAATTTTCCCTAGATAATATTTAGAAAAAATAAAAGGGAGGCACACTCCTTCCAAAGTAGGAAGAAGGGGGCATGCCCATACTATGGCATTGAGGCCTTACATGCTGTGTCATTGTTCCATTGCTTTCAAATTTGATTAAGGGTTGTAGCCTACGGTCTCCCATGCTTCACAAATCTGAGATAGACTATTGATCTTGTGCGCCATTAAAAGAAGAGACCCGAAGTGAGGTGTGCAAAGTCTAGTTGAGGTAATCTTCTGGCAATTTTCTTTGTGATTTGCAGTCTTATGTTTTCTTGCTCCCATGAGTATTATGTATTTCATGATCTCAATAACAAGTTTATGCAATTTTGGTTGTATAATAAAGAACTATTAAAGTGGCAGCAAGTGAGAATCCTTGGGATTCTTTTGTGTTTTTATTGTTTCTCATAATGTATTTGGACTCTTGTAAGTAATCCAAGAGGTGAAAATAAAAGAGAAGAAGAAAAACTTGCCCGGGTTACTGGGAAGCTGCCCTATAAAGGGACACGTGCACATGCGCATAAAGAGAGCCCCTTTTCAACTGTGGTGATAAGCTAGACTTTCTCTTAAAGGGAAGTAACTGAAATCCACATTCCATGATCATGATCCCACTGTTTATTGTCCAACTTTGACAAGCTAATCATGAGCCCCTACTTTGAGACTGAGGGTCATGGATCTCAGTTGGGTTGGATAACAGGACAGTAGTGGATCGTGATTTTTGGGGCGAGTGGAGTGCCCTTATTGTCGCTATTTTTGACTCATTGGTACCAGTCCACTCCTAGTATATTTTATTTTAATATTAGAGATGGTTTTTATGACTTTTAAATATTTTTTCAGAATTTTAAAATATTATTTCTCCTGTAAAATACATTCAAAGGGTACTTTTGAAATTTTCATGACTTAATAAGCACATGTGGAGACCAAGGATCCAGCCTCTGTGCCACCCATGTGGGGCCCACATGACCTCTTAAGGTGGCACGCCACATGGTATTTCTGAAATTTTCAAAACTTGATAAGCACATGTGGGGACCAAGGATCCAGCCCCCACATGCATGTGCCACCCATGTGGGGCCCACATGACCTCCAAGGGTGGCATGCCACTCTCTTTTTTTTTATAAAAGGGTGGGGACACGCCACTTTTTGTGGTAAAAAAAAAGGGCCACACCCAAACTTTCTTTAAAACAAAAGATGGCTCTATGCCATTTTTTAAGGAGAAAGGGGGACGCCCCATTTTCTTAAAATTTAGTTCAAATTTTAAATTAGTTAAAGATGGGAAATCTCATTAATTTAAATTAGATTTGGTTTCCTATTCTAGTGGGAGTTATTTAAGACACCTGTTTGACGTCAAAATCTCTCTCAACTCACGTGTTGTTATTTAATTCATGCGACAATGTATCCATGCGTGTGCTTGATGTTTAGACTGAATTTCGCCCTTACCACAATTGCATATGCGAATGCAAGCAAACAAATAATAATAAATAAATAAATAAATAAATAACGATTCAAAGTGCATAATGTCCAATTTCCTTAATGGTTATCACTTTTTAAAGGTAATTGAAGTAGAAATCTTTATTCGATTCGAATGCTTCTAATAGTGTGAAGACTGTCTTAAATCACATTTCTAATAGTGCTAGGATGGACGGCCTTTCTCTAAAGTATAATTGGTAACTACAAAACATAAGATAAACACCATACATAGCACAAAGAAAATCCTATTTTGTTTGTATAATAATGAAGTCAAGATCACAAGTTAAAAATACATGGGATAATATTCATTTGTATCTTTTGTAGATAATTTCCCTAGTGGACTACTTGACCCTAAGTTCAATAATTAATGCATTGACTTCAAATCTGAGGAACCCTTTTACAAGTCTAATAAGAGACATTTGATATCGATTGCTTAAATAGGTTCTAACTTGATAAAGCGTGAGTTGCACCCGTGTACATAGTCACATCCGTGACAAACCACGTAAAGCCTAGTGTTTTTTTTCAGTTATTTCTTTTCTGCTTTATTTTCTTGCTTGTTGCCAGTTCTATTTTTCTCGTATTTTATTTACCAAAAATCAACCCGTCGGGTTTACCCAGTCCTTCAATCTTTTGCTTGGGCGAC